ATATATATATAATTTCTTTATAGTTTAACTAAAAATTGACTCTAAACACTTCATAATTTAAAAATTTGGCACTTTTAAGCGCTCTAATAACTTAATATTACTAGGGCATATCTCACGTTTGTTGTTTACATAAGAATATTTCAAACATTCAAATTATTTTTATCCTCTTAAAAATTATTATTATTAATTTTTTAAAATTTTATTAAGGAATAAAGATCGAAAATGTACTTTTACAAATGATAGTGAGTCGAGAAAGATATTGGAGTTTAGTTAAATGACTTTGCATACCAACGACTAATGACTCATTTCTAGAATGCCTCCAATTAAATACAATTAATTAAAATATTTTGGAACAGAAACGTGCTTTTAAATAATGCTAGTAGATTCGCATACAAAGTCGCTATAAAAAGAAAGAAAACTAGAGTTTAGGTATTCAAGACCAGGTTGCAGTTATGCTATCAAGGAGAAGCGAAATTGCACCATTTGTCACATCACATTTTCTTCGCATGGTGTAACCGTTCATTGATCTAAATAAAAACTCGTCGCCTTGTACCAATTTACTGGTACAAAAGCCGTCCAAAACACGAGGTTTGGACAAATTGTCGAGCATTAAGGACAAAAGAATGATACGAGTGGAATGCTAAATGTCCATAGAGCTGTGTTTTTTACATTGATGACGTTTGATGAGTCCACTACTTTAAATATCTCAAGTACATTTACAACTTTTCTCATAAAAAAAATACTCTTTTCTATAATCTACTGTTGAAGCCCATAATTATGATTTTAAACGATGTTTAGAGGAGTTATGAAGCATAACCTCTTAAGAACGGGGCATTAAAGACCGCTATAATGTTTCAATTTTATCTCCGTTCCTTCTAATTAAATATGATAATTTTATGAAAATATCGTAAATAATTGCTATTTTTTAAATATTTTAAACACGGCTTTCACTAAAATAGAAGCGGATAACAACATTAAAACTGTAATCATTAAAGTAATTTTTACTTGATAAATATTTAAGAGCAAACAGAAAATAAAATAATCGCTAGAAATTTCCTACTTAAAATTTACTAAAAATGCAATTAAATACTATTATAAGGTATATTAGAAATTATAATTTTGTATATTATTCAAATAGCCACTTTAGAGAGAGTAAAAATGGGAGGAAGAGGAAAAAAATTGGAAGCTATTAAAAAAAATTAAAGCAAAACACCATTAACGATCGTCAATTCTTCATAAAATGCAATAGTTACTTGAACTTCTAATCGATTGAGATCCTTTATCTCTTAATTACTTTTGGAACAATATCGGTTCGTGCCCGAAGCAAAAAGAGAAAAGAGGAAGAAGAAAAAACAGAAGAATGAATAGAAGGTTACAACACTCTTTAAATGCAAGAAAAGCAATTAAAAAGTCAGTCAACATCAGCATTGATCATATTAATTTATAATTATTATAATTAAAAATTTCTCTTCGATTAAATAGCTATATAATTCTCATAAATATATAGGCCTGTTTTAAATTTTAATTCGCGATTTTAAAATTATTTTCTAGTTACAGGCATTATTTATGGCTATCGTTCGAGCGTAACCAAGGAGAGAGTAGACAATATAAAAGAAATAAAAAAAATACAAACAAAAACAATTAGTTTAAAAACTTTTAAAATCAGAAAATAGCATTTTGTAGGAAAGAAATGACTGCTCTTAATTGATTTTTCTTAAATGCATAAAACACATGTTGTACCATTACCACATTCTCATGTATTAAAATTTTATAATTATGCTAATAGTTTTTTGTAATTTTGATAATTTTTGATTTTAATAAAATTTATTTATTTATTTATTTTCTCCCTATAAGACTAGTGAAAAATTTCTCTCTTTCTTTCCAGACCAATTTTCTATTCCTTTGCTCTTTTGCTTTCCTTCAGTCTTTGTCACGTGTTCCAAATTCCATACACGTTATTGATCAATAAAAAAAGAGTACATCTCCATCTTTAAAAATTCCTTACAGTTTTAATACTAAAAAAAGCGTTAATATTGAGAATTTTTTATACTATTTTTTTTTTCAAAAATAAATGTAGAAAAGAATATTCTGAAATGAAACTAGATCAGTCGATATTAGTTGTGAAAAGGGAAAGGGGAAAAAAAGTACTTCTGTATCGTTTGATAGACGCTTTAAGTGAAAGTATTTATCGAATTTTGTCACGAAAATTAATTCGGTAAAAGTTTCAATTTTCGGAATTTCCTTTCCCGTTTTTTTAGTATTTAAGATTTATTCTTTTGTATATATCAAGTGTTTTTCGTTTGTAGAGGGAATTCTCGAGTTTGATCGATAAATATATTTTTAAAAGCATTTTTACTGACATCTCTGATAAAAGTACTTGAGAGAAAACATTGGTATCTAATGACAGAACCAGATAAAAAATTTTACAAAAAAACACAAGAATTATCAGGGTTTAGGTGAGTATATATTTACAAACGTACATACACTCATACATGCTCTTAAACACACATACGAATACATATTCTCTGTGCAAGAAATATTGAAAAAATGTAAATACAACTTTTATTAACAAAACGGGATAAATATCTTGAATTCTTCTTTTTTTCTTAAGTAGAAGTTCTGACTTTCTGGCACAGTTTTAGCGAAGTCTTCGTTGTAACCTTTATGGAAAAACAGTTATCAATCACATTTTTTTTTAATAATGTTGGAGTAGCTTAATTTATATAATTAAATTTTTGCTCTCCATCTTCTCAACTGATGAAATAAATATGACACGTTTATACCCTTTCTAATATATTAATCGAAGGCAACAACGAAGACTGTTCGCTAGTCAGGTGACAGATGTTGCAGACTAGATATTGGCACAAAATTAAAAGAAAGCTGAGTATTGCCTCCTCCATTTTGGTACCTTTTGACTAAAGTCCTTTCGGAGGCGTAGACTAGAAAAATCTTCAAGCGTCAATTAAAATCTAAAGGGGATATTCCTCCTGTAACGAAATTCGTTGTGCCCTTAGGAAGCACGTTAAGTCTTCGAGTAACACGTACACATTGTGATTACACAAACAGTTCCTTGGTAGATAATTTTTACATCAACATAAAAAACCCACATTGTTTTTCTCTTCTCTAAGTTTGACGAAAACGAAAAAACATATATAGGCTACGTACGAAAAATGACGTGAATGTCTATATATGTCACGATGCCTTTTCTTGGCAGATAGTACAGGTGCTCTGGATATATTTTTTTTTATTTTTATTTTTTGGTTCGTGCACACTTGATAGAGTATAGACCTCCTCAGTAGCTAAAAGCAAAAAACAAAACGAAAAAAAATTCCTATGTCCTTCTCTGCAATTTGTCTGATTTGAAAAAAAGGAGGAACAGTTTGTCAGACATACTTCCAGTCACACGGAACTAGAATCACATCAATACTGGAGGCTAAATTTTCTAAGGTCAAGCATTTGGCTCGTGTCCGGATGATGGCGATGTCGATTGTGCTCCCGTCAGCCATCTTCAATTCGATCAACCAACGGAATTTAAGTAAAGGTTTTATATCCCGCTACTTTTTGGTGCTCTTTGGTTTCTTCAGACTATTCTGTTGGTTCCTCATTGCCTCATCCTTGGCTCCGCTGAAAGATGGAAAATGATGTTCAGTAAAGTTCACTTTTTCACCTGGAAAATAAAATGGGCGAAATCAATTGTGCTCGAGACTTAATTCGAACCTATACCCACCACCTTTGTTCCAGTAGATATTTTGTAAGCTTTCGTTTTAAAGAGAGGGAATCGTTAAAGGGTTAGTTCTCTCAAAAAGGTACTTACAGGTAGCGAGTAAGATCTTCTATATCCACTAGCATGGAGTCCTGCTCCATGTGAAGATCGTCTCTCTCCAATAACAGACGCACTAGTTCTTCATTTAAACCTATATTTAAAAAATATTCACAGTTTCAATATTAAATTCGCATTTCCGAAATTCTGTCGTAACCTCGGCTAAGCAATGATAAATGTTCTAAATTTATTGCTTTACCTTCTATTTGGGAATGTAAATCATTGACAATGACTTGTAACTGTGCAACGTTCATATCGGTTAAGATATGTCTACTTAGCCTATGTTTTCCATTAGGAAACGGAAGACCAACCTAAAAAAAGGAACAGTTTTAACACGAGAAAAGTGTATTTTGATAAAAAAGAAATCTTATAGGATAATTCATCTTACTATCTCAGCAATAGGCGATTTCTTTTTTCTCTGTCTTTCTACTTCCATTTGCATCCTAGCCATTTCTTTTGCTTGAGCGAGAGCCATTCTAGCCTCCGCTTGCAGGCGAGCATGGCGAGTAAAGAAATCTTCTTCAATCTCTTTCTTTTCTTCCTTCTTCTGGTGTTGAGAGGAACGCAGATGACCTAATCTCCAACTTCTCTGGCGGTTGAAGAAGAACGAAGGACGTTGGCGCTTAGTATTGAGAGAAGGGAGGTTCTCTGTAGGTGCCTCATTGTTGTTATTGTTCAGGTTGTTGTTCGATGGTACCAGAGGAGTTGTGACAGATGAAGCCTGGTAAGAAGAAACTTTATTGGATAAAAAGAACGAATAATAAATAAAAAATTGATTACGTCAAATGAAAAAGGAATGAAAGATTGCTGCAGAGTTAACAGTCGATGAATCAATACATTTCTTTGAAGAAAACACTGCGGTATGCCTGATATTTTTTAAAAAAAATTTTTGAATTAATTTTTTTCCAATCAGACCTGCAACTGATGCTTTAATCTCACTAATTTTTTTTAAAAAAGCGTGCATTGTTTCCTTTTATCTTTACTAATTTTTTAATTTTTCATTTCTCTGAAAATTCCTTCAATCCCTGCAAATCTTAAGAGTTTGAAATTGATCTCATTTTTTATAATGGAATTGTTGTAAATTAACTTTATGTTTTGACTTTTTTTTATATTCGAAACACATCGCTGTTACTGGATTTTTCCTTACGAAAAGTTATGCATTGTACATTATTCTTCTTCACTTTATTCTCCGAGGATTGGAGATTTACTACAGTACACTAGCAGAAAATGAAATTGTTTTTTTCTGTTTTTTTGCTAAGATAGTTTCAAGAGGATTTATCTTTCTGAAATAAATTCTTAAAATATATTCTTTTGTAATCAGGAAAGGGATATTCTCAGATTAAGTAAGCAAGGATCAATTTTTAAACATCCGATGAAAGATAATTATTTATATAAAACCATACACTTAAATCAGCATTTTTAAAGAGAAAATACGAGGGAAAAAAGTCATTCACAGTCGAGCTAATAAATTAAAATTTGTCTCACCTTCTGATGTTCTGTTTCATCTTCGGAAGTAATTTGAGTATCTGTTACTGTTGTATCTTGCAAAAGACATTTTGTCTCTTCTTTATCCGTTCCGGTCGAATTATCACCATCCTGATCGCTACCTTGGCTTTCCTGATCGCTAGCAGTCTCGTTCATAAAACAAATCTGCAAGTTCATCCCACTCTGAAGTCTAGTAGTAAGACTCGGTTTTCTCGTAACTCTTTCTCCAAGATAGTAATCTTCGCTATCTGAATCCATCGCTAGCTTTCTGCGAATTTCCTCGCGATCATTCCTCCTCTAGACATAAACAAGAAAGAAAAATATATAAATGTTTTAGTTAAAGGCGTTCGTACAAAAAGTTTAGGGTGTATATTTAAAAATCCACCTTAAAATTCCGCCAATCATCGCGCTATACAAAGAATTACAACCTTGATGTTTTATCATGCTTAAAATACTCTTGAACTTAGCCATGTTCAAACAATAATATGTTACACGATCGTTCGACTAACTGCTCATGTAGACGTAGAGGCAACGTCCGGGATGTACAGTACGTTTATCATATTTGACCTCGATTTACTGCTACTCGATCATTACAAAATCGTAGAGGCATTAATTCGTATAAACTATACTTCAATATTGTTTAAAAAGTAGAAGCACAAGAGGAAGGTGATTAATATATATATTCAAACCTTATATTAGTAAAGAGTATAGTCACATTTCATTCTCGTCTATCGGGAAATTTAGTAGAATAGTTGAGGAAGTGAAATTCTTCTCACGTCAGCGAGCTGCCTTTAAAGTTCCCTGGAGGACTTTTTCATAAAAGGACGACGAAAGTAAGAAGCAATGGATGAAAGGCGACGCCGTCAGAAATTAGGAAATAAATAAAGTTAAGAGACAACTGGACTGAATCGATTAAATCTACATCCAAAAAGATCGCCCGAAGGAACCACAAACCGGTAGAAAGAAATTCGTCAAGATGAAATGATTTTCTTGTCGAGGGAAGCTTATGCAGCAAAAAAAGGGAGAATAAAATAGCAAAAATTATCTATTTACTAAAGTTCAACTGATAAATTTTGTCCTACGTACGCAATTAAAAGATAATTTAAGTGATTTTTCGAGCGTCATAGAGTAACTCGAATGCATTATTCAAAGTGAAGAATGATAATGTTTGAATACGGAAAAAAGGGCAGATGTATGAAGCGTTAAAGTTTATACACGTCTACTTTACGACGGCTGATTAGAGATAGTCCATTTAGAAAAAAGTTTTATGACCTAAGGTGTCGACAGTAAGCTTTAAAAAAAGGAAAGAAAAGAGAGGAAGAATGTTTACGTGTCCTGTTTACATTGAGTAAAGCATGCGCTATGTTTCCTCGATTCTAACCAAAGAATCGATATATATAGAGGCTGATTTAATGAAAATTGATTTTCTGGACAAACACCATATTGTCTGTGATTTTAAATAAGTGAGCATGTAAAAGAAAAATAGATAAATAAGTAAATATTGAGACTGATCGTTTGTCACTAAAAGCCTCGTAATAAATTTTTTGTTAGGTGTAATGCAGCGTAACAGTAAAACAACGTCAGACAGTATCGATACTAAGCAAACACGATGAAAAATGCGATAGACAAATGATAAAAACTTTACTAGATTTCATTTTTTATCATAAAAAAAGAGCTCTTTGATTTATTTTATATATACTATCGATGGAAAGATGTCGACTAAACTCTTTACATAGTTGGTAGCCATGCCCGCCTAACACGTTTGCACCAGTAATAAATGCTCAGTTACCGATCCACAGAGGTAATCCCCAGTTATCCGACTCGGTAAGGAGAAGAGATTTTTGAACAAGAATAAGAATTGCCTGATTTTACTCAATACCTGAACAGATTTGATGCATCGAGCATTATAACGCCTTACATGCTCGTTTGATTAGATAAGTAGGACTTGAATTGATTCTTTGCATAAGAATTCATCCCCTTAAATAATTCATCTCCATGCTATTTTCTGCAAAATGCAGTTTTATTTTATGTGGCAGATATTTTTTCTCTTCGCAGATTTCTGTTCTGCTTAATGGTTATAAATAGAACAGCGCGATAAGGAACCCTTGGTTAAAAAGAAAAGGTGAAAAAAATGAGGTAAAACGTCTTTATTACTTCAAAGCATTAGAAGCAAAATATTTTTTTAAATATTAAAATTATACTTTTTTTTAGAAGCTTGAAGAATATATTGCTTTTAACTCAGTGCAGCGCATTGTCTTTGTATTTTTGTTTTCGTTTTAAAAGCAATAAAACTTCGGCTCTTTATTTTGAGCACTAAAATTTCGATAGTTTGGAGCAATAAAATTACTGCATTATTGTTTTCAAGAAACAATAAGAAACAGACTTTTGCTACTGAAGCACTAAAACTAAGCAAACAAGTTTTTTTGGTACAATAAACAATACTAATCTTGTTTTTGGTATTTGAAATAAAATAGAATTATTCGATTGTTTTCAAGCTCTAACAACTTTTTATTTTTAAAATATTAAAAAATCACGTTTTCTACACATTAAAATTGTCCTTTTAATTTTTTGTAACTTTTTTTTTGTATTTTAGAACACCAAAATATAATTTTTTTATTGTTTTTTGGAGCACTTAAGACGTCGCTATTATTGGAGCATCAAAAGCAGAGTTTTTAGAGCACTAAAAACAAATAATTTATTCTACTTTCGATGCAAAAAAATATCATATTTTTGGCATTTGAAATAATAAAATCGATATATTTATTTTCTAAAACATTAGAACATAATCTTTTACTTTCATCAAAAAGAACAATCTATTTTTGGAGCACTCTAAACACAAAAATTCCTTTATGTTTCGAGTAGTAACGAAAGAACAACTGCAACTTTTCTATTTTTCTTCTGTTTGACTGTATAAAATTAATGTCAAGTTGCGAATAAAAAGAAATTTATAAGAATAAATTAAAGATTAAAAGAATTTTCAATTTTCCCCTTCTTTCTTCCCCTCCTTCTCGCTCTCTTTTTATATATAATAAAATAAAATATTAAAATCAACTACGTAAGACTTCTTGAAGATCCGACATGTGACATAAGATTTAATACAAAAATTGGATTTGGCTTCTCTTAAGCAGACGGAAGCATCTTTCATCTGCTCGAAGATTCACCTGCATTTCTTTTCTAGTAGTTTGTTAGAATGGTAGTGGTTCGACGAGTAAAATATTTAGCAAAGAGGCCAAATTGCTGATAAAATTTTCAAAGGAACTTGTCCCGAAAAACAATCTTTCCTCCCTTCAATGAGTGGATAATAAAATGGAAGTAAATTAAAAAGAAAAGAAACTTAAATATATTTTTAAAAAATATACTTATAAATATTATATCTAACATCAAATTAAAAAAAAGAAATGTATTCAAGTATCCGGAATGGTGCCATAAATGTGTGTATACTAAACTAGAATATTTTTAAAATTTAATATTTATAAAATAAATTTCGGATGGTGCTTAGTGTATAAAAACCTCGAAATAAGTATGGTTAAAGGATGAGATACTGTAGTAACATAATTAAATAAATGATATTGGTTAGATTTAGAGGGGCAAAGTTTAAGTGGAGCAATTATGTTTACTAGCACACACGATCGCCCAAGTCATCTGTTAGTCATCACTTTTCGAATGGTTTTATCGTCGCATTAAAAATACAGCTGTTGAAAAATTTTAATGATGTAAATAAATTAAAATTCGTTAAATTATATTTCACATGTTTAATATATTTACTAAATATCTACGCGCACTTTTTTGCCGTCTGAAGCTGTTCGTGTTTTTGTAGTACAGTACGTTTAATAATCGAAAAATAATTGAAAGATTGCGATCCGAAAGAAGGTTAACTACATTTTTTGTATAGAAAAATGCTGTTCATCAGCTCCCAAAAAACGCGTAACGACTAAACTTTTAGTGTACTAAAAAATAAAATAAGAAAAGATTGTTTTATCGCTCCAAAAAATGTAGTGATAAATAACGTTTTAAAAACGTAACACTTTGCTTTTAATACTCCAAAGATAAAAAGTTACTTGTAAAAAAAATACAAGTCAGATATAAAGCGATTTTTCCTTTAGTTCGGCCATACTATGTGAATTTACAGTACACAATGACTAAGCGTTATCAGCTTAACATCATAAAGATTTAAGGGTTTAAACAGTAAAAGTAAAACTCACCTCACAAATATCGTCTATGTAACTAAGAGTATATAAACTACATATGTAATTTCGATCGAAAGACCAAACAGGAAACGCTTTCCTTTCGACACACTTCATCCCTCCTAAGAGAGAGAGAGAAGGAGAGTAGAGGCGTAACTGCTTAGAAAGAAGTTTTACTCATTATAATTCGATAAGACATCGACCGTGTTTATATTTGACTCAGTTGTTTTTACAAATGCGAATCGCTTGAATAAACAAAAGTGATTAAACAATTCTTTTCCCCAATAGGGTAAACCGAAAACGTATCGGAAAGTCAGGAAGCGGGGTAACAATCGGATATGACATCACGACCGGCTTTCCAGAAACTAAATTACTAAATGAATGCCTTAACAGGAGTCACGCGCTCGGCTTAGGTTGCGTAGGGCTATGTTACTTCTATATAGTTGTCAAAAATTGGGGAAATAACAATGTAAATGATTTCTTTTTACTGCGGCAACATTGTTCAATCTTTAATCTACGATCCCATTAAAAAGAAACGTGAGCGGGAGACGAAACTCTTAATCCCTATCCTCATCCTCCCCCATGTATTCTACTGACGTCATTTCCGCTAAAATTTCAGCTATAATTTTTATTTATTTATTTATGAAGTGGGTTTAAAACTTTCTCGCTTCTACACTCGCCAGGCAATTCTTTAGTAAAGAGAGGATAATAAAATGAAAGTAATTAACTAATTCATTAATGAGGAAACAAAATTCTATTAACGTCTCACTAGCTATTATTACGAGGAAAATCATTATTTTAACACTTTTATAATGTTAAGAAGATATTTTTAATGTAGATTTTACTTTTTATTCTATGCATCGATATTTTTCTCTTTAGTTTAATTATAAATTTTTATTTTTTTAAAAAATATCCCAACGTAAAGAGAACTATTAGTTCTACCGCATTATTATTTTAATTANTTATTTCTTTCTTCCTATAAATCCTGTAATTCAGGACTTGTCTAGTTGACTTTTGTTTTCTTGGAAACAATAGCATATACTGTATTACAACATAGGCAATACTAAACAGCAGGTAAAAAAAAAAATATGATTTAAATAAGTAGCTGTAGGCGATCTAGATGAAACTAATAAAGAAAATATGAATCATATCCAAAATAGTACCAAATTATTTTTTCAGCTAATGAAAAATATAAAATCTTTCAGCTTAAAAAATACAAAATTTATGCTATATTACTATATCATTCAAATTTCACAAATTCTAATACATTTATAATTAAACTAATAATGAACCAAATATTTTTCATATTTCTATTTGCATAAAGAATGAGCTGTATTGGCTTATTATTTTCCTAGTTTTTAATTTAGAAACAGTATTCTTTTAACTATATTGTTACTTATATTGAGGGGCCATCCATTAATTACATACAGTTTTTGAACTATTTTTGACTCGCCTTCTCTGTGTTGTATATATAATGATTTGCTTTTCACATCCTAATGATAGGATTCAAATACAGTAATTTAATAATTTTACAACTAGTTTGCTGCAGCAGTTACCATTTTAATGAAAAATGTTACTTGTTATTGGGATTTACTATTTTTTTTAAAAACTCATTGCTAACCTCAAAATTAAACCTTTTGCCTTTTTATAATGATTAATAAAATCTCATAACAGATGATGCCACATACAATTTTAACTTTGTGCTAATGTGTCTTACTTTTTATTTTAAACTTAAATATTTTTTCAATGGAGATATTTATGATATTTCAACAAAATTACAGGTATCCCTCTTATAACATGGTAGTTACATTCTGAAAAAATGCCTTGTTATGTAAATCTGTGCTATACAAAACAAAGGACTAATGCAAAAGATAGGGTTAGGTTTCAAAAGTTAACAAAAGTATACCATTCTTTTTCATTACTAAGAGAAATATGTTTATTAAAGCAATAAAGAATTAAGTAACAATCACAATTAAAAGTACTGTATTATGTTCAATTATTAGCACTTATGCATTAATATTAATTTTAGTTAAATAAGGATATTTTCTTTTTACAAAGTATGGACGTCATCTGAGCTTTTTTGTTGATCTGGATAAGAAATATCAGTAATGTAGTCTTTTTTTTTTTTTTTTTATCGTAAACAAGTTTTTATGGATGACAAAATAAAAATATGTTATTAATCAAAAATGCATTCTAGCAAGTAGCATTTGTTCAGTCGAGTACCAAACAATTTCTCCCCCCAAATATGTGTTCAAATACCAAGTTGCCTTTACTAAATAGCTGATCATTTTCGTATATTTGCAAACATTTCTTAACATTCACCTTAAAATTAAATTTTTCTCTACTTTCTTGGAGATTTGCTTTCTGAAATCTAAGTACTTTGAGCTTTCCAGCATATTATCAAGAGTACCAAACCTTTGTGACAGAAGCACAATAATTCTAACAGCTACATTCTAGCTGTAAATACTTGTTACTCTAACTTGATCTTGACCTAGCTTGTTACTCAAGCTTTCAAGAAAACAGTGAATTGTACATAAGGTGTCATTAGAGAGAAAAAATTGATATTTCCTCTTAAACTTTTATTCCCAAATTATTTGACACTAAATTTTAAAAAGTCTGGGATTTTTTTAGTGTTTTGAATTGAGTCAGTAATATATTTCTTACTTCAATTATTAGCACTGATCAAACTCTCTTGATGTTGTGAGTAAGCAGAATTAAATATTTTTATAGACCATACCATTCTATTTATTTAAAATTGAAACTTAATCTGTTTATGAAATACAAAGAAAATTTGAGACTAACATCACATATAGCAGCTTGAAATAATTCTTTAAACTATTTCTCCAAGATAGTAATCTTCGCTATCTGAATCCATCGCTAGCTTTCTGCGAATTTCCTCGCGATCATTCCTCCTTCTTTTCAGCCAGTCGTCTTCTTTAGCAGCTCGAGTCAGATGAGCTTCCATGGCTACCCAGTCTATTGTAGGCATTGCCGTTTCAATGTTATACACATCAAAATCTCCCAACTGATCGGAAGATTTTTTTTCCACTCGAATTTTAGGCGTTAATTCGACAGCGTTATTATCTTCGGGTGTTAAGGAGGAAGTGATGACGTCACAGTTATGATTTTCGTCACCGAAATAGGGAGGAGGCACACAAGCTCCGTTGGCATCTAAAGTCCCGGTTAATAAATCTACAGGAAGTCCATTCCTCTGAGAATCGTTGATCCTTTCGGGGCAACGAACCATGTTAGCGGGTGAATCCTGTAGGATTTTTAATAAATCCTCCGCCCGCTGTTCACACCGTTCTGTAAATTCTTGTTCCCTATTATCCTGAGTATTTTCTTCTTTATTCGGTGTGATAGATTTTTCCTCCGCTTCGTGTACGTTCTGCGATTTTTGCCAATCTTCTCCGTGATTCCATCCGCTACGGTTCCTTAACTGATGCTGATATTCTTTGGTCATGTTACGCGGCAGAGATTCCACAGTGTTCAAAATTTTCGATTCCTCGAAAGAAGTCGAAAACTGTTCGGAATTAAATTCTCGAATGTTTATCTTTTCTTGCTGAACAGTGTCCTGAACGAGGCACTGAATATCATTATGCTTACTCAGAGGTATCGAGAAATTGTTGAATGCTTGGTTGGAAGCTATGTTCACGTCTAAATCCGAAGAACAACTAATATCACTCATGGGACTAACATCGTTAGTATCTGGCCCACTACCCGAACTCGGAGACTTTGTAGCGTCGAGGGGCAACACATCCGGAAGATTATTACCTTTCTGAAGGCCTTCCGTCAGTTTCGGAGACTCTGACGAGGAATTGCAGAAGACCAAAGTGGGATTCGCTTTCTCATCCGAACTCCTCCTATCCAATTGAGTATCTGCGTATTGCTTCTCGTCTCCGATGTATAATTGGTCCCTAGTATTATTTTCCAAAAAGTTATTATTATTGTAAGTATTCTCCAGAACGTAGCAATCCTTTCCGGCTTGATCTGACATATCTGAGGAATCGGAGAACAAAGAATCTTCACTATCGATGTCTTCGGGATCAACTTCGGGGCTGCTAGCGTTGCAATGATTGTTGTTATTGTTGTTATAATCTTCGCTTAAATCTTCGAAGTCGTCCTCCTCTTCTAAACTTTTCTTCAAGTTCCTTCCAGTTAGCAAAGGGCTAGTTTCTGTATATTCCAGATCGGATAAGCTATCGTCTTCAGTAGTTCCGTTCTTGGATATATCTTCTGGAGATGACAAAGACATGGCCTGATCGCTCATATCTTCCAAGGGCGATGCTAAATTTGGATTGTAGCCACATTGGGATGTTTTTGTGGGTGACGGGCTCGACTGTTGATTGTGATTCTGGAAGAAATGCCATCCCTGTTGTATTCTGTAAGATATTAAAAAAGTAGTTGGGAATAAATAAAGATTGTAAAAGTTTTAATACGAGTCGAAAACGAAGGAGGTAATTAAGACTCCGGAAGCAAGCTTCATTAACGCTCCAGTTTTAATTAAACTCTTAACGACCTGGAGGGGATTACTCCCTCGCTAAGCCTAATTACAACAGACAAATGCCAAATATGAACATCGCATTCGCATCTTACATCACTCTACAAGCTTCATATTTTATTTAGATTTTCTTTATTCAGAGTGTAAGATTTCTGTGTAACGAAATACTAATCCCTATTTCCAGATTAAGTACGTGTCGACAACTATAATTTAATTAAAGAGAATGGCGGCTAATTATCCAAACAGCCCCTTAAGATAACAAAGGAAAAAAAATTAACAAATCTCTTAGACAGCAGATAAACCACTTTTTAATTAATTTCTACTTTAAGTGTAAAACGATACAGTGTAAAATGAAGCTAGAAAACCGGATGAAAAATTTGAAACTTCTGTAAACCCATGCTTGCTTGTAGAGCGGTGTAACCTACATACAGTATTTTAAATTTACAAAGTTCATTTACGTGGGGGGAAGAGTGTAAAAAAAGAAAAATTTTTTATTCTACTCCCCCGTAATTTTTTTGAAAAATTTTTGACTGGGCAATACGACGAAGCTGTTAGGTTTAATTAGGCCATCTCCTCCATACTGGTTTATGGGGATTTAAAGAAAGTCGTGATCTTGCATTAAAAACACGCGTATAGCGAAACTCGTAATTCATTCTGCTTTTACGTAAACTAAGTTGGCTCCTATTTTTTTACTATCACGAAATCTAACGAGAGAAAGCCGTTTAATTAAATTACCGAAGAAGATATTGTTGCTACTAAAAAGCTACAATCAGAAAGGAAAGAAATGAAAGCAATTTAATTGAGTAGTTCTTTACTTAAACACAAGAGAAGAACTTTGTTTCCTTCATAGAAATCCCTTTTTTTTCTATTTTTTATCTAAATTATTATCGCAATAGACATTTTCGGATTAAGATTAATATTTAGAAAATTTCACCTGATTCCACTGGGAGAGACTCTATAGCCAGATCGAGTCCTTAAACTGCTGACTTTATCTTCGTTCTGTTGGTTTAGTTGGCTGCAGGAGAAATAAAAGTTACAAGAACATAAAAAACGAAGAAACACACAAAACAAATATCTATAAAGATTAAGTTTATTTTGTCTTACATAAAGTTATGAGCCGTTATAACTTATACAAACGAAGGAATGTAATAGCAACACACATTACAGTAATGAAGTATAGATTTTTTTCTCTTTATATATTTTTATATTAATTCTAATTGTATAAACGTATGAATTTTATTAATTAAACCTTAATATATTAGAAAAAATCCCTCAATTTATTTTTTTTTTCGGCCGAAGCCATACCCTTTATTTAAAACAGTTTTTCTTAACAGATGTATATAATAACTTGTACAGCATCTGTTTCTAAGTTTAAGGTCAGTGGGTGGTAAACAGCAGATTTAAAGTTTCGCCACCCCGAGAGAGAGGCCCTCCTACCCCTAGATGAGTGATGAATTCCAACTCGAATAAGTATAAATGAGTCTAGATCTCGAATTAGACGTTTGGAATTATAAAGAGGAACATAACAATGCTAGAAAGCTCTTAAAGATTAAATTGAAATATTGCAGCACGTAAATCCATTAGATAAATGTGATAGATTTTCGGAAGAGACCCGCACAAGATCGTCTACTCAATACAAGAGAGTCGCTACTAAAGACATAAAAGAAACCTAGAGGAAAAAAAATACCCTCTTTCCATGCCACAAAGAAGCATAGAAACTCGTCCTTTGACAAATCGACCGACAAGATGCATTTCTCCCTTTTATCCCGCAAGAGGATATTGAACTGAGGATGATGTCTTTCAACTTGGTCGAATCAACACGCGAAGCAGCGTTTAGTGGAAATTAACCGAATCGTGGGACATCATCTGGCTATCTCATTCACCTCTATTGTGTTTGAAATTCTCGGAAGCGGAAATAGATTCCGGCCACTGAAAGAGGTTGAGGGGGTATTATTATAGCTTCGGAAACTACATATTAGATTTGTTCACCCTTGACTCCACATCCCTCTTATCAATATAAATCCTGCTTAATAAAGCCTACAGATGCGCATTATATGCCGAATTCTACAAGCATTTTTCATACTTACTTCTGTAAGAGAAATCTGTCTTCGTGAGAAGTCCGGATGCTTCGTTTCAATCTCATTGCGTCTTCCTATACGGAGAGAAATATATATATATATATTTAAAAATAAAGGTAAATGAGTACGTTAATTTTAAATTAAGAATATAAAAGAAGCTTAAATATGAATAAAAATATATTAGATAAATAACTTAAGATATTATAAATCTTTAATGGCTCAGGAAGGGGAAATCTTACATAAAATCGAAGCTTATACCTGAAGCCAGCCACATCCTTAAACACTATTCAATTTATAATATATGCAAGGGAAGGGGAAAAAGAAATTAAAGTAGTTTCTATCAGTGTCTCGTCTTAGAAAATTTAAATAAAGTGCAGTTATGTACTGTACCAACATATTTATAAAGAAAATGCGTTTTTAAAGTTCGTCTCCGAGCAATATTTCGAACTAGATCGGCGTATTGTGCGAGATGGAAAATGTTATCATGACAAAACGAGCATCTTATCTCTTAATATTCTCCACTTTCATCGATATACTCTCTTGATATTACTAATGGATAATATAGCCAGAGCCATTAAGGAGAAGCCATATTGAAGGAGAGCTTCGATGCATAATGAAGCGTTTCTTTTAATGACAAGGCAAGCTTACCCAACGATCCTACCAGAAATCAATCTTGGAGCTGTTAATAAATGAAATATCTACATTTTGATAATAAGATTTTTAAAAAGAAAATCTCGCTTTTCGTTATGTTGATGGCTCCTGCTCCCATTTCCTCTCTTCTTAGGCTCTTCGGAAGGCATTTGTCTTAATTAATGGTGTTCGTAACTGAGAATATATGCTCTGCCTCTTCCTTCTTCGCTTTCATCTAGCATAACTGAGGTTCATTCATCTCTATTTTTTTAAAAAAAGTATAAAAAATATTCTCGGAAGTAAAACTTTATTCTTAAAGTTTTAAGAATCTTGAATAAAATCCGGTATTTTCAGCACGTAATTCCATTTTTCCATCCCAGCAACAACGTGTTAATCAACTAACTAATTAAATCTTTCAACAGAGCGGAACTTAACGGAAATCAGAAATCATAATTTATTTTTGCTGCAACAATGGTTTACAAAATTATGATGATGTTCACGCATGCTCATTTAACGTCTATCATAGCAACATCATCATTAAAATGGGCTTAAACGTCTTCATTATTCTATCCAATATAACAATAAAAAAAGCTTATCGTGAAGAGAAATATTTAAACAAGTTTAATTCACAAAAGATTGTACCCGCGTGAGCTTAATGCCTTTATTTTTAATAATAGCAGAAAGTTAGACTGCATTTTTGACATTAAATATAGATTTTTCATTGTTTTTCACTTATTTATTTATCCTTAACGACTCACGCAAAGGCTCAATAAAGAGTCGTATCTGGGTTTACGCTTCTCGAATTTAACACAGAAATCAGATAACAAAAACAGGATGAATGAAGAGTTTCGACTAAACAAGGAAGTCATCTACAATATTTATTTAAAAATTAATCAATTTTAAACAAAATAATTCGAATTTTTAAACGTTACTAATGCCAATTTTTCGCAGCTTCGACTTTTTTCCCCGCTTCAAATAATTAACAACTCAGCATTAAAAAATAAACAAAGGGTCTGAAATTCTCATTAAATAAATAGTTTTTACAAAAATGCATATACAGCAACTAAACAGAAAACATTAGCAAAGCATTTTTTTAATCTTAAATAAAAAAACACAGCACTTAAAGAGGGATTTTCCATAACAACAGAAGGAGGGAAACATTATAGAAATTGAAAATAAAAACATAATTTTAATTGTTTTATTGTTGAAATTGGTCAAATATAAAGTTTAAAAATAGAACAATTTAAAATTCACGTTACAAAAAATTTGATGTATGTAAATATAGGCCTACTTTAAAGTTTAATTATAAGATATCGATTATTTTCTGAATTTATAATTTAATATATAATTTAATAGTAAGTGATAAAGTATGGAGAAGTGTATTAGATTTTACTGTAGATAGTGATATAAAAATATACTGGTAGATAATTTAATTGTAAATTGTACAAACCGACAAAGAGACAAGAAGAGCTTTTGAGAATCTACTGGCAAAAAAATATTTTTTTTTTTTACTTAAGGTGACAAGAAGATAATATTTTATCTTTTTTTAGTACTTAAAAAAGTAAATTTTTTATTTATTTATCTACTTTAAGTAACAAAAATGGAACAGACAAACGAACACAATTTATAATAAATAATACAAGAGTATAGAGAAGCGTGTGTAATATATCATCGCCTCATCTCGATTGCAATAAATCAGACGTTTATAATATGAAAACTATAAATGAAATGACATATAAATGGCAAATAAACAATTTCTTATTTGTTCTATTTTTTTCTCGTTTTAATAATTTATCCAACCGTTACAAAATCTCATATTTATGTAAATTTGTCCGAGGTCAGCCGTAAACGTGCGATAGATAGGAGAGGGGTAGAGCAAAAAAGAATTCCAATGTTCAGTTGAAGTTGACAACTTATTGAGTGCAGGAACATGTCAACATGACTAGACCAGCTGCGCCAGTTTACACCACTTCTCGACAGAGAACACCATCGACAAATAAACCACCGATAAAATGGGGTGATGTGAATATCGAATTATTTGCTAGATATATATATATATATATAAAATTTCGATAAAATTCATATAAATCAATAAGGGAGCGACGAAGTGAAAGATTTTAGTAAATCGAGACAAGGAAGTGGTTTGCGTATGTAAACTTGTATCAGAAGGGGACAAAATGCGAGAGGTCGCTTTCTCATTTGGCCCTTTTTTATGGTCAAAGTCGAACAATGTAGCAAACAAGTCGATTACTCTGCCGCATCTGGTCGGAGATAACATCGCTCCAGCCAAAACAACATCCTAATAACTTACACAGACATGGCAGAACGGTAAATTGGTCCGGTCCTATTCAACCTCGCAAAGCTTTCGATTCCCTTCTACATCTACTCTACGTCGACCCAAACTCCTACTTTAATCGAAATCTTTTATACGCATCTATATGTATATGTTATAAAAAATTTACAATTTATAATCCAATTCTATACTACAAAAATACAAAATTTAATTCATAACCGTAGAAGAAAAAAAAAAGAAAGAAAGATATATTCTAAGCAGAAAACGAATCTTCTACAGATGGAGGTGACTGCAATTGACATCTACACTCCTTGTAACCATAGCAACGGTATCTTGACCTCCTCTGCTAAGTGCTCCGATTCGAGACCGCAGATGAAGCACGTGACTACCATAGCATTAATTCGGTGCACCTCCAGAGGCTAACGAACGCGCGTGCTGGCGTGAAACGTCATCTGAATTATTCACCGATTGCCATAGGAGTATTTACGACAATAATTAGCGTAAGTTATTCAAAAGTGAAAATTCTGACTAAGCATTAATTGGTGTTAGAAAACGGAAAATATCTTTTGCAGCTCTTCTAACTTTAGACTTATTTACTTTATCTCTAGCAAAAATGTAACGACAATATAAATCTGTCCGAGTCTAGATAAGGAAAATAAATATCAGATAAAAACTGTGTTTTCTTCCAGATAATTTTTCTTTTTTTTTATTTTATTAAATGATATAGAAGTTTTATGAATGGCCTTTCTAGTTTCCTACTTAACCGAGAGAGGAAATGCTCTTCTTTTTCCGAGCGAGTTGTTTATCGCCTATACAAGAGAATTCATAGTGATAGACTGCACAGATGTTGTACTTGGAATTCATTTATGTTTTATGTAACTAATTGGATTATAACAATATGGTAGCAGATGTTTGGGTGACGTCGACACTGAGAATAGAAGGTGGATGAGACTTAATTAGACTCTAAAGGCTAGTACGCCCTAAGTCCATTAGTTGCATCTGTGCAACAAAATTTCTAATTCGTCACCCGGAAATTTTTCAAAATTTCTGAATGAAAATGAATATATAAATATAACGAAAATCCAATCGAGTAAAATTAATAATATAAATTTCTCCTCATTGTTTGTTTAAGAGCGGGAAGATAAACAAATTCTAGTTCAATGACCGTCACAATCTTTTTGATAAGATTAAAGCTTAGAATAACAATTCATTTTGAATTCATCTGGTTTAAATCAAGTTCGTTATGCTACGGCAATTCGTTTGTTTATAATTAGCAACGAATATTGCCGGATTAAAGCGCTGGAATGGGGATTATCTGGAGAGTATTTTAAGCAATTTTCAATTGATTCTTCAAACTTGAAAATATTTGCATATTTTATCTTATTTCGTTTAACAAATCCATTCATTAGAACACGCGATATTAGCGACCAATAATTGGATGTACAACAATGAAGACAACTATCTCTCGAGAGGATATTTACCCGTGTCGACTCATCCAAGAGCTAAGCTATAAAGGGCCTCTGAGACCGTCTCGTATTTCTTGGCTCAACCTATCTATATCCATAAATTTAACCTGTAGACCAGCAGACATCTTCCTAGACTGGATGATAATATTCATAACTTTATCCCCATTTAATTAATATTCGTGACGGGAGATGCGTGATTTTTCTTTTTATGTTTTTTTTTTAATTCGACGTTGAGGGGAGAGAGTCGTTCTCCAACCGGAGACACTTTACATAGCGCAGGGGTGACTCAATGTCAACACCGAGACTGGAATGTTGAAAGCCACAAAAGCATCCATTCACAGCTATCGGGGTCAGCAGATGTTGACTTTGGTCCTTGGGTTATTTCTCACGTTACTTTAATGACGTAACCGGTGACGTAAAGCATACGAAATCTCTTAAAACGCGTGTGTTAGAGAGATTTAATGATTTTTCCTTGCGCCTTTCGTGAAATAAAAGCTTGCGTGACGTCATTTTTCCTATTACTGCTTCCGCATTCTCGGACATGCCTTTTATTACCCGAAATAGGAGATTGGCTTCAGAGATGACTTCAACCGAGTTGTAACTGATACGGTAGCTAATTACTTAATTGTTAAGAATAAAATGAAAAGATTTTCGTAACAACTTTCAGCAAATCTACTGATTACAA